CCAGTTTATTTAGGACACCAACAAACTAGTCTGCACTCTAACCTCTCCTTCATGCTCCCCCCCTGCACACCACACCCTCCCTCGGCCCAGGCCTGCCCCTCCCGGGACAAAAGGGTCTTTGTGTATCACTGGCTGACTTAATGAGATTAGAGAGCTCCCCCCACCCCACCCCCCAAACAAACACACAGGACAAAACAACTTCCCGTGTGTCTCAGTGTTGAACCAACAGCGAGGGCAGAGCAGCTAATCGCCGTGCAGCTGACAGTGGACGCACGTCGACTTTGTTCAAATCGTTTCAAACTGCAGCAGAAAAACGCTGAAAGGCAACTTTTACCTTCATATTACTGCTTTATTATTTCCCACACTGCTGCTGTAACGGTCCATAATCATAACGACATCATTACTATAAATACGAACATATCTGTTCATGCATTTGTATGGATGCTGCACTCTGACCCCGTCCTGTGTCAAACCCTGCACGCGGCCTTTCAGAGACTGCAGCGCTCTGATGTGAGCAGTGGGCTGCTTCCCATCGAACAACTTTCGATGCAGAACGAGGAAAAGCAGACAAACACAGCCAATGAATAAAATATTAATTACAGGGAGAAGGCCTTTTTCCTGCTGCTCCCACGGCGTGCTGCGCTTTTAAATGATGGCACGAGGAAAGCAGCAGGTCTCTGATAACTCCAGCTAGCTGTGCTGGATGATGAGAGAGGCGCCTCTTCAGGCGCCGCTTGACAAAATTATAATTAAGCATTATCACCAAATTTCAGTGATTGAGGACGGATCTGTTTGTGGCCTTTTCCTGCTTTATTTTCTCTTTAATTATGTGAAACCGGTTTTTGATCAACGAGCTGACGAATAAGACGTTCAGCTCAGTCTGTCCTTCTTCTTCTTCTGTGGTTAAAAACAGTGGCTTGTCAGCTGTTCGTGAGCGGGCCGGTGTCTCGCTTTCCATAACGCTAACGTCTCCACCCATATAGATGATAATTGCGTTTGGCATTTATTATTTGAAAGGGCCCAAAGCCCACAGTGCTGCATGTGTGTGTGCAGATAAGATGGTCACAGACGAGATAATGGAGATGCTTGAGAAAGAGGGAAGAGTTAGTTAAACACTCTGACAGAGGGCTGAGAGAACAGCGGTCAAATCTAAAATGAATTTCACGCTAGCTTCCACGAGCCAATCCAGGAAGAAAATTCAATTTCCAATCGTTTCTTTTTCTGCTAATTTGATCAGCAGATCAGAGCTGCAGCTTCAGCCAGAGCAAAACACAATACTCACTTAAATAAGCCGGGTTATAAGGTGCTCTGGAGCTAGGCAGAAATGCTTCCAACTCTTTCCTCTCTAAGGAGCCGTGCTGGTGGCTGAGGTGCTGGTGCAGCTGTTGGTAACTGAGAGGCGCCTCTTTGCCAAAGGTGGAGAATGATCTATCGGCCGTTTGCTCTGGGCTTTCAAATACCTCTGTGTCGGGGACCGAGTCCATGCCGGGCACATGGAGGTTGCTCCTGTAGTCGGGACCCTGGCGCCCGTCAGAGGGCACGAAGCTCGGCATCCAGCAGCGATCGGAGTGGCCCAAAGCCTTACACTCGTCTGTGCAGTTGGAGAAAAGATCAGCGCCTGTAGGGGAGGGGGCGGGGAGAAGAAATTAAAGGTTTTACGAGCAAAACGGTGCACGCACGAGCTGGTAACCAGATCTGACATGTTCAGTTTGCAATTATGAAGCTGCTCTTTGATTCCTTTCTGTTTCCCAGCACGGAGATCAAAGCTGCTGCACAACAGACTGAAAGGAACCTGTGCTGACACGCAGCCGTCAACAACGTCGCTGCTGCTGTTTCAGTGCGAATAAAGATTTCATCAGCATTTGGAAAAGAAACAAACAGCTTATCAGTTTAGCCGTGAGAGCGATGCTGCACGCTGATGTTCAGACATGATGACACCGTACAGGACGATGTTACACCAGACCAGAGTTTACTGCAACACGCTGCGTCAAACCTGTTTGTTCTTCCACAAAGATTTTACATTTTTACTCTGACATCAGAGGAACAAGCGGCTCGTGTCACTGTATCGGTTCACTGAGTGATGGGTTCAGGGTGACTCAGGTTTTTCAGTGTTTGTAACACTATGTATCTGTGTATGCTACCATTGTATATAGTGTATTATCTTACTTTTTTTCATTGATTGTACTTATTTGTATTTTTGTATTTCCTTCATATATCTGTACCTGAGCTCAGGTGACGCAAAAATTTCCCCGTTGTGGGATCAATAAAGTCTTATCTTATCTTACTAACCGAGTCAAACAGCAGCAGATGTTGAACCTGAGGTTGCACCTAAAATAAGGAATCGGGAATTCAGCACATCACAAATGACAAAAGAAAACAGGAAGGTGAACGTGTGTAACATTTAGCGGACGGTCAGTCACCGTCTTTATCATTATTAGCACATTCTGCCACATTTACATCCATTCAAAGTGGATGAGCAGTTTTTAGGAACAATAAAGACCCATCATGTGTTTGCAGTACAAACAGGCTCATGGCTCAGCGGGTGGTGTTTGCACCTCGTCTGCATGTCGATGCATGTTGGGTTAAAACATGAAACATGGGACAAAAGCACTGAAGAGTTCACAGGTACCAGTAGAGGTGGGAATCACCACACATCCCACGATACGATATTATAGCAATTTTGTAAAATATTTTGCGATATTCAGATTCTGTACATAAAGGTAAACTTTATCAATATTCATTTTCTCTAATATCAAAGTCTCACACTCAGTCTTTCTCTCATTTCAGTTTGATTGTTGACAAACTGAACGGTTTGTATTACAGTCTAGTCCAACTTAACTGAATCAACCATCTGGTACAATTATAGCTATTCTGAACTATGCAGTTTATGAAAACTATGCAGCCCCTTCAGCAACTGAAGAATTTGAAAGTAAATTAAAACAAAATATAATTTTACATTAAATAAAAAAGTTTTAAACTTAATTAAAATAAAACATGTCTTAAATTAAAATAAGTAAACTGTCACATTTGGACAGTGAAGGAATGTCAGGATTCTTGCTCAGAAAAAGGATCAACATGCTCTGAAGTCAGAGCACAAAAACCTTTTTGTAACAAAATATCGATTTCTGCTGTCCCTGTATCCATACATTATTAGCAAACAAAATATCACCATGCTACACAGTATCCATTTTTCCCCCACCTCTAGGTACCAGTCGGTTTAAGTGCATCCTTTGTAGTTCATCATATATGAAAAGCGCAGCTATGCAGGCTGACTGTGAGCCTTAAGCCAAATTGTGTGTTTGCTGCTCCATATGTTTTTGCAGTTGGGCCCAGATCTTGCGGACGCATGTTTTCGAAGCCTAAATCCTCGCGCGTGTGTGCGTTTGACTCTCTTTGGGGCTAAAATGTCCAGCTCAGGCTATCTGCTGCTAATCCCTCTGAATACAGCCTGATTAGGCTAAGACTGCTGTCATCCCAGTAAGCAGAGTGTGTGCATTTTGTTCTGTGTCCTTAACGGTCAGCAAAGGGGGAATTTGCTTTGTTACAAGAGGATTAATTTGGCTTGCTGTCACTAGCAACTTGGAAAAGTGCCCAGTCTCCTAACGAGAGGGTTTCCTATTAAATATTAAGCAACGTGCCATAAATATACCGCTGCACGAGGCTTTAGTGCGGCCTCTTACATGGAAGGAAACAACTTCTGGTACAGTTTGATGGAGCCGCAGCCACGAGGCGAAGCAGTGCTGACGCACTATATCAGTGCACCTGCTCACGCAGACAGCGCTGCACTGCGAGCAAAAACACAGCGTGGAAAGAAGAAGAGCTCTGCTTATATTACAAAATGGACGCGCTGTTAATTCTCAAAATAGGAACAGGAAATGTGGCGTTTGGCCTCAGCGAGGGGGATTCAGAGCTACATCACGACATCTTATCAAAACTACACGTTCCCCTGTCGAATGAGGCAGTCATAAACACACACACACACACACACACACACACACAGGCTTGTGCTTCAAATGTGAGTAAAGGTTGCAGGTGATACTCTTCTCTCCACGGCGGCGTCCGCCTGCGCGCTGCAGCTGAAAGAAGCTTCATAAATCACGCTGCAGAGAAGTGTCGGTGTCTGGCCTCCACTTCAACACAGGATTAAGAAGAACTATGTCAACATGTCTCACACTAAGACACACAGGAGCAGCGAGGAGACGGGGGAGGGAGGGCGGCGAGCTCTGGAAGCGAGCTGACCCTCGCTGCTTCCGACACATCGTCTCATCTTAGCATTCCGAACGCCGCTCGCACAGGGCAAACGCAAAGTCCCGATAATAACCTTCATTTGGTAATTGGTATGCAGAGGTCTGAAAAATGAATTACTGATCAGCGAGCTGTTACCACGGTGATAACGTGAACGGCAGGCCTAAGGAGAAATTCATCTCGGCGGGGGAGGCGGGAATGCGGCAGGGGTAGAGGAGGGACTGAAAATTGGATAAGCGCCTCGACTCAATCTGCTCCGAGTGCGTGACATCGGCCGTGTTGATAAACTGGAGCAGCACTGGAAACGTGGACGAGGGTCCCAGAGGGGCTGACGAGCTGCTGCTCCTCACCTCGGAGACTTCAAACCTCACAACCAAACACACGCTTGCTCTGTTCTCTTAAACTAATAATATAATATAGTAATAATAATAATATATTAATACTGGTGCTCGGTCAACTTTCTCCTTCCAAACATCTCTTACAGGTTAATGTGCAGCTGGTTTCTTCACAGTCACGTCAGGAGTTCACACATTCGATACATAATTAAACTTTGGAAATGTAAATATTAAATATTTAAACATTTGTAATGTTAAAATTGTATCTATGTTATCAGTTTGTGAAATAAAAAAATAAATGATTTTAACATGCGTGGACTGAGTCATAACGAGCTGCTAACACAATATAAAGATGTTATTATCATTTTATATAAAAGGTTTCATTGCTGGTCAGATACTTCAGATACTGCTGGGATCTCAGGAACACCTCGTCTCCTGTGTGGTGGGTGCTGTGATGGGAGGGGCGCAGCAATAACAACACAACGGTAACCAAATGGTTTTAGTGCCAAATAACCGAGCAGGCAGAGCGCACATCCAGCTGTAACACAATAAGACTCCAGTTTTCTCCCTCTGCTCGTCTCTCATCTGCTTTATCGTTTTTTTACACCAAAATAATGTTTATGCATCACTAAAGAGTCGCTTTTTCACATTTCCCCAGGAGGAGTTTGCAAAACTACAAGGCCTGGAAATGTGTGCAAAATGTCATACATGTACATCACACCCAGCCCGGGCCTAAATCGTTCCATTCTTCTAGGTGGCGCTATTGAGCCATTTTGCCCCGCCCATATCTGAAGACAAAATTTCAAGAGTTTTTGAGCATCTTTAGGCCCTCAAAAAGCCAATACATTTGCTGCCATAATAATAATAATAACAATAATAATAATAATAATAATGGTGGTATTGCATTGGGCCCTAATAAAAAAAATCCAGATGATATTCATGGATGAATTACAGATGAAAGATGAACTCATTAAGTCACATATTTAGAAATAAAGTGTGTTATGCAGAGTTACCCAGCAAACATGTGACGTGTTCTTATTCAAAATAAATCCACTATGACTTCACATGTATTTCACATGTTTTGTAATTCAGTGGTTGTTTAATACTCGAGCTTCTTCTCGGCTCCACGTTTGGAGGTAAAAACTCTCCAATAACCAATGAAGACTTGAAACATTTTAACTTTCGATCCATTTCCACCACTTAAAGCCCCGCCCCCCTTTTTTTTCTTGTGCTAAATTTTGCACAAAGTTGTTCCTCTTGTTTCATTAAAGGATCTTTCACCACCGTCAGACACTGAGGACTGAATGTCTTTGGGCTTTTTTGGCTGCTGGTCAGACAGAATCAGCTATTTCTGTTCAAATGTGACTCATTATTCTTGGCGTGTTAGAGAGGGGATAATTACACAATTAAGAACTCATTCATTTCATCCTAGAATAGTTTAACAGACCAATTCTGACTGGATTTAAACGCAGCAGTGATAATAAACATGACAGCAGTCAAAGACAGAGTCTGCATTTCTGATTGGACCACATCACAGCCATGGTTACACACACACACTCATAAGTGTATTTTCACGTGACTGTCACGCTGCACTCAGATACCTCGAAAATGAGATCGGCTCTGACCTGAGCAGCGGTTTTTCCTCCACATTCGATCCACATGTAACCAGATTGACTCCAATACTACAAAGTCATGTCTTAAACGGCTCTTTCAGCCGGTTCACGTGTTCATCACAGGTGACTCTGGTCTCTTTACATCCTTGATGAGGAAAAACGGCCTTTGATCAGAGAACAACAGAGCTGAGTGCCTGAAGCAGCAGAAAATGCTGGCATGACAAAGCAGCTAACCACAGGAAGAAGAACACAAATCACTGTGTCAACAAAAAATACAACAACGGCTACGCTTTAAAAAAAAAAAGAAAAGGATATGAGAATAATGATGAGCACTGGGCCTGCCTCCAGCAGGTCAAAATATAGTATTTTATGAGGTAAATCAGTCGTGTCCTATAACTCTGACTGCACAGGAAGAAAGGAAGGATGAAAGAGAAAAAGGTGATGCATTCATGAAGTCTGTGAGAGCCGAGAGGAAAGCGAACACGTGGATTTATTAAACACTGATGCAGCCTCACTACTGACAAACTAGATTAGCTCGCAGGACGATGGCGCTCTAAGCCATGCTATCAATTATCCTAATCAAACAACGACTAAATGCACAGCAAATAATCTGGGTAAAGGCATTAAGCTTTGCAACAAAGTAACTCACGCTATCTGCCGCACCAAGGGTATGCAAAGGGTACGGGCTGCTGTTTCACAGCTGGATGTGCTGGACCATCCAGAGTAGGGACTGTAGGGGCAAATTCAAAAGTGTTAAATGTTTTGGTGTTAGTAGTCTTAGAGTTAATTTTACTCTCAGTAGAGTCACATTCTTTTAATGTAACTCTAGGGTGTAAAATGATCGTAGTTAAAATCAAGTGTTAAAAATGAGTGTTTCTATGTCAAATCTGGAGGTGTTACAATGGAAACATTAACTCTGAACTCCTACAGGGGCTATGACACCAATAGAGTAAATTCACAGACTCCGCCCCCAGCACCATAGGCTCCAATCGAAGCTGAAGTGAAGCCGTTTCAGAACATTTTGCTCTACATATTTGCTGTGTCCCAATTCAGGGTCTGCAGCCTTAAAGGCCGCATTTTAAGGCCGATTACGTCACAGTGGCGCGCCGAAGGCTGTCCCAATTCAAAGGCTGCTCGAAATGCGGCCCTCAAATGCGTCCTTCATTTCCCTGAATTTTAAGGACGTGGCGGTGTAGACTTCGTGGCCCAACATATCCCAGAATGCATAGCGCGGCGGTGGGTGTGGATAATTTTGCCGAAAAAAAACGGCGGATGAGGGGCGCCCGAAGAGTAAACTTGAGTAAGTACTGAATATTATGTCACTTATTTATGTGCAAATGTTTAATAACGAAGAACATTAAAACATTCCTGTTGGCCACATGTCGGCAAAGTCATGTGACATTAGTGACGTTTGTACTAACTTGGTTTTAAAGCCTTTACTTTAAAATATACTCCGTTCAATAGCTGAGCTTAATCAGAGAATGATCAAAGCTCATGTAGAAACAAACAAATGAACAAAAGATTTTCTCCTTCATTTCTGTCAAACAAAGCTGTGTGAAACGTTTCCAGCTGCTAGACCGTCCCATTTCACAAGCCTCGCACTTCCGGCCTTAGCGGTCTTTGAGTACGCGGCCCTTGAGGATCGTTGAGGCTGCGTACTTTAAGGCTGCAGACCCTGAATTGGGATACAGCCATTGTTGTTGTTTGCCATAAGTCATTTTTTCAAAGATTGTTTCAATTATTATTATTAGCTTTTACTTCTGTGGCTCTTTGGAGTTGAGACAAAGCTGTGTGAAAGGCATAAGCCATGTTGCTAGCTGATAGCATAATATTCTGTTTTAGCTAGCTGAAAGGTATTGTTTGTGGGCAAATACCACAGCCTTGAAAAAAGCTTGCATGTGAATGTGAAACGCCTAAAACAATGTCTAGAATGTGAAATGTTGGTATAATGGTGCTACTTGAAGCCTGAAAACGATCTCCCATAAAAACCGAGCAAACAGCAGTAGCAGACGTCCTGACTGGTTCTACGTTAGCGTTTAGATCCCTCCAGAGTTTTGTGCACACGGTTTAGGTAAAAATGAAAAAGGTTGAGGTTTTACATTTAGTTCAGTATTACCTGTTGTCTGTGTCCTTGTCTTTTGGGAAAATACTTTACACAAGAAATGGCTCAAAAAGGATTCCTTTTTTAAATTGATTTGTGCCATTAATTAGTGTCAACTAATTTTTATTCAATCTCCACA